AATTTCTCCTTACAATATCAATACAATATCAACCAGATAAGTGATGAGAACAAAGAAAAATATCAATTTGGGGATAATTAGTTGATCCAACTCTTAATTCTCTGAACTAACATTATATGAATTGTATGGTTGACAGTAAGGTGAATTACAATTTTGATCTGGAAGTTAAAGGGTTAAAGAAAAGGATTAAGGCAGACCCCAGGGTGATTCTGGTGGTTTGGGTGATCAAACCCTTAAGACTCAAATGAAGTCATTTAAAAGCATGTGTGGTTTCTGATGAAAAACTTTAGTAGATATAATGGATTTTAAAACAGCTAATATCAGCAATTGTCTCTAGGCATGAAACAATTATCCCTCAAGATCTAGATTTCAACATTTCCTAAGGAGAGGATGCTCCCTGACCTTCTAAGATAAGTCTGCCTTTGGTGAAAGTTCACCTGAACCCCCTTACCAAATCCTGGATCTGCCTTGGAAGGAGTCACACTAAATAAAATATTATTTGTAAAGGTTGAAAAATAAATTTCATTATCAGTTGAACTGCTTGTTTGTAAAACAGTATTTTTGTGTCACAGAATTATAGTCTATTAGTTGAGTAAAGAACCATTAGAGAACATATTCCTAAGCCAGCTATACATATACTGTCAACAAGTTATATAACTTAGGAGATGATAATAATCTCTCTTTGTAGGTTTTGTTCTTGAGGGATTCAATTCTAGTGTGTGTAATTGGTGTTCTTTGTTGCAGAAGACATTGGTCAGTACTCATTTATAATTGTAGCAATTATTACTGATAATCTTGATATTTTCAGGCTTTTTTTTTCATAAAGACAGTAAGAAATTTTTTTTTTCAAGTTTAATTTTTTTCGTAATTCCTAAGTTTGTTATGGTATCTGGTTTAAGTTGAGGTCTTAAACTAATTATGGATTAATTATCTTTTTTTTATAAGACTGAAAACCAAGAGTAGATTTGTTCTTATCAGTTTTGTGTTCATACTAGGAATTTTTACCTGATGATAAGCCACGACTGATCCATGGTATAGGATCTCCAGGTGAACATCATTAATTTACTTTCTGCTTTCATTGGTGATATTGCTTTTAATCATAAGCACTTTGTGATAATCTCTTTCCTATCTAACTTGAGACTCTCAAACTTTAACATAATTTTTGAGAAAAATTCAATGGACTATTTCAACTTATGCAAAATAACAGTCAGGGAATGTAGCTGCTATGTATCCCATTTTGAATTCATTCAGGGACTTTGGTTGGTGTTTCTATGAGATAACACTTTCCAGTTTATTCTGATAAAGTGTTTGATGCATATACACATTGAGATGAGATTGTCAGTTGAAAGTACACGTCAGTCAAGTCTGGAAGTTAAAGGTTGACTAAGTATATATTTTGAAATATTTCATTAAGTTTCCCTTAATTTTCTGAAACACTCTTTTAAATAATGGATACTAAGTGCTTAGATTCTGAGTCAGAAACTCAATTACATGTTAAACCTGTTACAAACTTGCTGTTTTGTAAGAAAAGTACTGTTTGGGTAAAGAAACTATGACTGTCATATTTTGTTACCTCCACTTACGCCTCTTTTTTCGGTTTTTTGCAGAAGAGGTAGTGTTGGCAGTGGAATGTGGAGTTGATATCTTTGATTCATCATATCCTTTACATCATTAAGAAAAAAAATTAAAACAATGCTGCTGTTTGCAGCCACCATATTCATATTTCTTTAATGGCACAAATTACTTGGCTTTTGTAAAGTTCATTTGAAATGTCACAGTGGTGAATTCAAGCATCTGTGTTTGGTTTAATGGAAGAAGCAGAGGCCAAGGGGTCAGATGGCAAGATTCTGGATTAAGAGTTCCAGTCTAGGTTCTAGTCCTGGCTGGGGATACTACATGTTGTGTTCATGGGCAAATTGCTGTATTTTCACAGGATTAGCCTGAAGATCAAGCATTATTTGATTATGCTTTATTTTAGGTATGTTCCCTCCCAATGTCACATGTTACACTGATGGTGCACACAGGTGGATCACACAGGTGGCTCATTTGTACCCTATGCCTGCCCAAGTATTCTGTAAACTACTTAGGAACCAGCAGGGTGTCAATGACCAGTCAGGGAAACCTGACACCAATGAATCTGGTATGAAGACCTTCATGTACTCACTTCCCCCACATTGCAGGTGTCCCCATGTAGTACATGTAGCTTTAATTTTTGTCTTTTTTGTTTTTATCACAAAATGGGAAAATAAGCAAATGACCTGTTTTTTCTTTGAGACTTCCCAAGTTGTCATAAGACCCCTAGTTTGTGGGAGTAAGGAAAACAGATTTTAGCATTTTATTGAACATTTGTCCTTAATCATGGCACCTATCCTTGTCAAGTAGCAGAGAGAGGATGTGCTTTGGATATTAAATGGAGCAGAAAAAGATTCAAACCAGAGCTCACATATTTACCCTCAACTTCAGAGAGATTAGAAGGAGAACTAAAAAATTCAGAGGACAGTTTGAATGAATTAAGTACAAGTTCACATCAAAAAGAAATAGTGGGTGGTGGAACATTGTTTGAACTAAATCTCAATCATACAAGGTGTGTCTTCTATTTAAAGTTGAATTAATGTAAGATGTGATGTTGCCTTGCAAAGACTGATGATTCAGTTCATTTAGTCAGTGCTTTCCTTTCTATTCATGTCTTTAATTTTCTTATCATTTTTATTGACAATAGTAACAATAATGATATTAATGATAAATTGATAATAATTACAATAATAGTTAAACCACCAGCTGCCCTTCAGTTTCTTACTTTGGGTTTTCAGGAAGGTCTTTTAAAAATACAAAATAAATGCAATAAATTAACAAACAAAACTAATTAGAAAATAAAAACTATTTAAAACATGAAAAAACTCTGGAATGGATATTGAGTTGTACATTATTTATTCATAAATTCATTTAGGTACAGCTCAGACTTCACCTCTCTTGTTAGTGGTTGTACATGTTACTGCTGCACAAATCATACACGGGCTTATGTTCATCATCTGCTTGTCACCAAAGAGATGCTTTCCAAAGTTCTTCTTATGATGTAAGTATTCAGTCATTGCATTTCCTTGTTACCATCCATGTCATAGAACACGCTGCTCTATAACATAGGTTACATATTTTTAAGTTGGTGGCAATAGTGGGAAAAGGAAAACAAGGGAAAAAGGACAAATATATAAGCACAACTCTAAAAGTAAAGTCAATAAATAGTACATGAACCATTTTATTGCTTGGTGTTAAGGACACTTTGGCCTAAAGACTTAGGGTTTAGGGTTAGGCAAGGACTCAGTTCAAGCCCTTGTCAAGATCAGAATACTGTCAAGGAAACCAGTCCAAATCAATGAGAGGAGGGATATAAAGTTACCTTTAATGGACTAGTATCCCATTTTGGAGAAACAGCTGCAGTATATTCACAGAAATAATGTACATGAAAAATTGAAGAGCTTCTGATTGGCTGAAAACAAGTGCAAACTACAAATAGCATGCATGCTGTCAAAATTTCGTCTGTCTTGACTTTTTGTGATGTTTTTTCAAGTCATTATTGATAGGTAATTACATGATTAATCGTTCTTGTGAAATTAAAACTTATGAGCTTATGCAAGTTTTTTGTCTTTGAAAAATTAACTCATACTCGTTTGTACCAAATTTCACTCAAAATCATGTTGTTATCTATACTAATTGGAAACAGTGTCACTGATTACCTGTCTGTGGTCCATTACAGTGACTTCAAGATCATTAAAATTTACATAATATTTTTTATTTCAGCCATAATCTACATGAATATTGTCAGTTTTTCGCTGGCATTCGTTTGTCAATAGAGGAGGATAACTTCGAAGAGTTTAAAAGGAACTTTACCGAAAGCCACCATCTGTAGCAGTGAATTGGTTTCCTGTATTTCATGGAATCTACATCCCTAGTTTATCCATCGCCCAGAATGCTATTGTCTTTCGCGACATGTACTTGCAGTGCCCATTTAATCAGCGGGCAGCATAATAATTTGCATATCCTGAACTAGTCGGTTGTGATTGGTCAGTAGGTATAGCTTTGGGAATACATGAGTCTCTTTGCAGATTTCAGCTGCTGTCAATCAAACGGTTGGATGCGTAAAGTAAATCCCAAGGTGACATAAAGTGAACAATAGCAATAATTAACAATAGCCACGCTCTTAACAAAGCGTTTAGCAAATTCGTTTGCAGCGAATTCTTATATGGACTGACAGACTCCCGTTGGTCAAAATGTTATCGGAATTATAAAAATTAGTATCATGAAAATAGAAAATAGAAAAAAGAAAAATTTAGAAAAAAAGTATCATGAAGAATCTACTTCGTTAAAATCGCTCCAATCGGTAGAGAAAAATATGAGCGATGCTTCCGACAACAGGCTTGTGAGAGCGACGATCGTCGAGATAGAACTAGAGTCTATCTTGCGACAATAATAGGAATGTGGTTTCCATATGATAGTAACGATTGCTGAATATTTCTGCAGCGATCTCAGCGATCATATCTTAAAAGCTTTTACAGTTTTTTAAGCATTGTCTAGTTACCACCTCAATTTCAATACTAATTAGGCGGCGTGTGCGCGATTGTTTGCGGAGGCGGAGCTTAACATACCTTGATATTCTCGCGGGAAGTTTAAAATAGGTCACTTGTATTCTCGTGGGGGTCTCCAAAGGACAAATTTGGATAGAACACTACGATGCTTTGCAAACGTTTTCGAAATTCGCGTTTTGCGACTACTTCCAAAGTTTGGAATCCCTTGAAAATTTCTATGACGCTTTCTAGAATGTCAAATAAAAATAACCATATGGTAAAAGAAATCTAGCAATTGAGTGAAGATAAATTACGCCTGAAAGTGCGCTGAGATCGACTTCTCATACAAGCAGGATGCTAACATAGTCAATTTTCAAGGCAAATTTGCGACCTCTTCTGAAAGCGCAAGAACACAGTGAATATGATACACTATTCAATTGAACTTTCTTCTTTAAAAGCCATATGGTAAAAGTAGCATTTGAAAAGTAGTTTATCCGTAAACGAAGAGAACGTAAGCCTTCCTCGACATTTTCAGCCCTTTTCCTTTATTGTTTGACAATCATTTTCTAATTAGCTTTTAAATTTAGCGCCAGCGTCTCAATGAAAGTCCCGGATATGTCGCTGAATTCTGGGCGATGCTTCATTTCTTTTTAACAAATTTTAGTTTTTACCAGTATGTAGTGGACTTCTTATAAACTCTCAGGGAGAAGTGTGCTAGAGGTAGTGTCAGTCTAGTTTTACACAAGGTTTGTTGTTTAGATCACGAAGAAGACCTTTATCTGTTTCCTCTCTGGCTGTGTTTGCCTTAAATGAACTGTGTAATCCAGTTTCTTTGATATTGTTGTGACAGTGTGGCTCAGTGTCTACCCTTGTTGTTCTTTTTGTCTGTCTGTCTGTATGTTTGTGTCTCCATCTCTGTCTGTGTCAATCTGTCCGTCTATGTGTCTAACTGGCTGGCAAGCTGTTTCTCTGGATTAGACGTTTTTACCAGTCATTATTTATTGCCAGGGGGGAATCACACTGCTAATATCACAGAGCCTAATAGGGGGGATCAGGTAAATTTTATCGTGAAACCACCAGAAGCCTCCAACCCTTTCCCCTTAACTGCTTCACAAGATGTGGTACAAACTGGAGTCAGTGGGTGGGGACAACAGCTTTAAGACTTCAATCTTGTTAGTGCTGCTACTCGTGAGAACCAAGGAGAGAACTACACCAGTTTTCAATTGTGACAACTGAGAAACTTTCATCCAACTATTTAATGATAAATTGTCTACATAAATTCCTATAGAAAAATAAAACATTTTAAAATTCTCAGATATTTAATTTTTTCTGTGCGGAAAACACTGCAAACTATGATAAGAGCTCGATTTGGGGCATGAAAAATAGCTATAGAATCACGAATTTCTTTCAATAATCTTTATATATTCTGTAAGCATTGACCTTCCTCTTGAACTTCATAACAAAGTGTGAAAAGTGATTCTGGAATCGCGTTACTGGCACCAAATCAACTATTTAACGCTAAACCATAGCCGAAAGCGACGATCGTTTCTAGTATGCTACGCTGAGTTGAAAATTACAACATAACATAACACCGGCAATGAACTAGCTTCGTCCTTAAGGCGACAGAGCACCATCAAAACCTGGCATTGCTCTTTGAACGTAACTTATAGGTAAACATATAACCCTTGCTTGAAAACTATACTTCAAGTTAACAGTCAAAGTATTACTCTTCTTTTTTTTTCTTCATTTCTTGGGAGGAATTTTACTCAACTATGTTTATTTACAGTTAATATCAAAGTTCGACTTTTCCTTTAAGCGTGTCGGTTTGTTGAAGTTCCGGTGGAATCAAGCCTGTGGTTTCCGTATCACTGAAGTATCCTTCATCTCCTACGTAATGAGTTGGGTACAGAAGTAAGGGCTCTGCTGTCATGGCAACAAGGTTACGGGGATAAAAGTGATTGGCCCACTCCGGACTGCAGAAGAAATTAAAGGCGAAAAATAAATCAAATTTAATTGAAGGTAGACAAAGGAAGATAACTACGGCGTGAGGAAACGACAAGGAATGAAATAGAAGGTCCCCATAAACCGTCGTTTGAGTGTTTACAAAGAAGGGAAGGTTTGGATTTTCTCTAGGTATAATCCCGTTAGTGTAAATCACGTCGTTTTTCTAAAAATAATGTGAGAGTGTATTCACTATTACTCCGACCAAAATTCAAATTGTAAGATTTTCATCACCAAGTTGGTCTGCTTCTGAAAATATCTTATTTATTGACCTTTCTACCCGAAAATATGCGATATCTTGGGTTGAGAGGGGAGGCCATGTTGGCAATGATACATTGCAGGAATGAATTGACCAAATTACGCCCAAAAGTGGCGCCTATACCATTGTACTTACTTTAAATGTTTGTTAAACATAATGGGTAAAAACTCGTCCACGGCGATCATTTTCTCCAGCGGTTTCGCAGACACAAGTTTCCGGGCGCCTCGTAAGGAGATGGCATACCCCAGCGTCCAATAGGTATATTCAGCCCAAGCTAGTGCCGAGGCCCCTGGAACCATTGTAACAGGATTACTGTGGAATCGCTTGCGCCCTATATAACTGAGTGAGAAAAGGCAACATTGTTAGCAAATGATCCTACGAAGGCTTACGATCCGTCAGCTTTGCCAAGCCAGCAAAGGCGCTTGAGTTACTTGACTCTTTAACCCCTGAAAAGGACTAACTACATAATGATGTAGACATCCTTCCCACTTCTTCCAAGATTATTTCTACCTTCTTGGGAATTGAGTGAAAACACTCGGAAAGTTTACACTCACATTAGTTCCCAAGGATACTCGCTTGAAAGGGCGTTTGCCTCTTGAAGTAGATGTTGTAGCTGATTTCGAAAATCGGGTTCAAACCGAACATCATCTTCTAACACCAAAACTTTATCCAAGCCATTATTGATCATCTGAGGATTAAAAAGGGAACATTATTACAAACGGCGGCGGTAGTTTTCGCACGAGACTTATGAAAGGAAAACGAACAAAAGTTGACAGCATATGAACGCAAGTAGCAACAGTAATAACACCAATTGGAGTCCAACGAGGTCTGTAATCATACGGAACGAATTAATTTACCTTGTCGGACAACCGGAAACAAGACGCCCGATTCGATTTCGTTAATTAAGAATCTTGTTGCAGACAGAATTTAACAATTCTTTATCCTGTTAACATTTAGTAAAAACTATGACAAACATTGGATAAACAAAAAGCACAAAAGTCACACGTGTTAACTTCATGTCGCACGCGCCGACGAGACGAAAAAGTAATACAGCTTTCTTTACTTCACTATTGAGCTCAATATTAACCATCTTTCTCATTCTAGCCACTAACGCGACGCTTTCGACACAGCTTATCCTAGCAGTATGCAGGATAAGAATCACATGAAATCCTCACAATGGCCTCATGATGGCCTAATAATCTCATAACCAGACCTTTCACGGCCAGGCGGTTGTTCAGCTACAGTTGCACGGTAGGAATGGTTCAACTCACCACGGAATTTTCTTTAGCTCTGTGGTAAAAGTATCAGTACGCAGAATCCGAGAATCTGAAGTTCGGTTCCTCCCTGAGATTCAGATTTTTCCTCACTCCCATTCTCGTGAAAAGACGAAAAAAACGTCTTTCTCTAAGAATACACATTTTAACTTTATTATAAATTTTGTCCTTATCCATTTTCTTGCTCTGCCTGGATCGAGCCTGTGCTGTCTAAGTGACCATGAAACTTGCGCAAAGCGAAAGAAGGGAGAATTTCGAAGCGTTTGTACTTTTAGGATGCTTCCCTCTACAAGTAACTTACCTCCTCCCAAATAAGGTAATGACTCAAGAAGCATCCGATTTCTCCCATGGTAAGCGGCCTAAGGGACAAAAATGATCGCCGCGTAAAAATTACTGTGAATGATTGTAACCATAATACCAAGAAAAAATAAGGGGACAGAGGAGAACAATCAGGATTCCCCCTGACTCTACTTATTTTCTTATGTCGAACAGGTGGGAATGAATGAACTGATGACCTTCAGTAATTGGAGACCTCGAATGATATTAGGGACCTTAAGCAAACCACGATGGGGACGGCAACGAGGGCATGGAAAAACAAAAGATCTAATTGGCAGAACAATAGCTCAGCACGTGCGTTTTAAAACTTTGTACATTTCTTAGCCGTCCTATGCAAAACAACGTGAAATCACAATTTGCGTCGTCTGCGCATCGAAACCGCGACGAAAAATTGTTTTAATTTCCATTGGAACGCAGCTCTTCTTTTATACGTTATGCTGAAGTTGAGGTGTGGCGCCATATGAGACGGTAAACACATGCAGTCATTTTTTAAATTCTAATTAAAGGCAGAAATTCATTTTTCAATCGAAGTCTTCCTCGGCGTTGCCGTCCTGACTGCTTAAGGTCCCTATTAACAGGCCTTCGGCGGAACGTCATATCACACCCTCGGGGTGATATTCTTCCACCTCAAACTCGAGGGGATCGGCGGCCTCGTACTCACGCATCGTGAAGGAGAGGCTCGCACTGACATTGGTGAAAAGAACTCACCGGACCGTCTCTCCCCTATGCTGTCAACGAATGGACCGGATAGGAACTATTTCTATGTGCGTTAGTTTATGGTTTTGTTTTGACAGAGAGTAACGTTTCACATGCTCAATTATTGATAGGAAAACTATATAAATAGGGAAACATTATCAACTGCTGACCAATCATTTTTCTTTTGATTTCAGCTCAGTTATACGGGGAACTGAAGTTAGCGAAGACGCCCTGATTCACCTTTTTCCATATGGATCTTTGTAACCTGGTAACATCTTAATCCCCATGTCTTTAACCTGCTGGTCAGTTAATGACCTGGCAAAATGGAAAAAGGTGATAATGACAAAAAAGGCAAAAACCAAACAGACAAACAAAAGTTCTAAATACATTGTCAACAATTTTGAGCCATGCCACAGGATAATTGAAAGAAAACAAATTGTAGGCAGCAGTTCACTGGACATGAGAAGTTGGACTATTTATTTTTCCAGTCTGTCGTCCTTAACTAAGTAATTTGTAGTATGATCTGTTAAAAACAAAGTGTAGAAATTTAAAATCTTTCAAAACCCAAGGCCTTACAATTTCTTTAATTACAAAAAAATTAATCAATTAATTAATTGATCACAAAAACATGGGAATGGAATTGAATTTTGCATCCTTCTTTGATGTAACCACCTTTATTTTAAGTGGATTAGAAAGATTTATCAGAGTAATATCCTAAAAAGGAGTACATACTTGCCATCAACTGCATCAAACATCTTCACTTTAATTCCCAGCTCTTTGAGAGATGCAAGCATCCTTTTTCGACGTACAGGCCTCCTTTTAAGATTGATGAGATAGATCTTTAGGGAAAAAAGATGGTAATTAATTCACCCACAAGATTTCACATTTTGTTGGAATATATCCATCAATTATGTCAAATAGAAGTTCTAGGACACTGTCTTCAAAATAGGGCTTAATTTTGTTGTTCAACCCCTTAACTCCCAGAAGTTATTAATACACATACGTTATCCAGCAAACAGGTAATGAGAATACTCTAACTTATCTGGTAGAAGTTATCTCAGTCTAAAAGCAAATAAATTCATGAAGAAATAGGCAGCATTTAGAGAGGAGAATGAACAAGCAGATCTTAGGAGTGAATTAAGCATACAATCCCAATTTGGTCTGTAATGTTTTGTACTGTACCTCATCAAAACCCAGCTTTCCAGGAGGGGTGTATTCAACAGTAATGTGTGAACTAACAGGCATCAATTCCTCTGGATGATCAACTACAAAAAAAAATGAGACCATTTACACTTTGCCCTGGAAGGAATTACCACTTGAGTCTCCTGTGCACTCACCAACCCACAACATGAATCAAACTGCAAAATGCCTTAGTTATATAGCAAGTAATACTGTGTATTAGAATATGTAACAAATTACATACCAAACCACTCAAGCTTCACATGAGTAAAATGAACCTTCATGTCTTCCAAAGTGCTGTTGCCGCTTGAAGGGCTTAACATGTAGCCATACACCTCTTTATTTAAGAGGTTCAACTTTATTCCTGTGAATATAATAAAAAAACACTTATGAAAAGGTTAACGATTAAGACTACTAAAAAAACCTACATATTTTACATTTGATGGGACATTAAACTACAGTATTCTCCTTTTCAGACCATAACCACTCAAATTTACTGCCTATAATACCTCTTGTTACTGCCTAAAATTGCTTGGAATTCTTGAGAATTCAACAGGTAAAAGGATATA